GTCCAGTTTGAGTCCAGCTTGAGTCCAGTCTGGTTCCAGCCTGAGTCCAGTTTGAGTCCAGCTTGAGTCCAGTCTGGTTCCAGCTTGATTCCAGTCTGGTTCCAGCTTGATCCCAGTCTGGTTTCAGCCTGAGTCCAGTCTGGTTCCAGCTTGATTCCAGTCTGGGTTTCAGAGCAGATTTTGTGGTTTAACCTAGGTTTGATTGTAGTATTGATGCAGTAATCAGTTCATGTGAGCTCATGACTGAATCCCAGCTGTCCAGCTGAGCGCCCCACTCATGACTGTTATCTCCCTCCATGCTTCTCCTTTACTAATTAATGTGATCGGACAGCTTAACGAGGTAAGACGCCTTCTTGGTTTTCAGATTCTTACTGTTCTGTGTTCTTGTCGACTAGATTAGAGACAATATGGTAGTAACGCACACACATTAGCACAGTAGCTGAGTGTGAGCTCAGACTCACCCCTGTCAGTCTCTGTGGTAACCATCCTTGTGAACCACGAGAGGAAACTTCCTGCTGTGCTGCTCTGATCGTCTGCTTTAGTACAGAAAGATGTAGTTTCACACAGTTTTTTATCTTTACTGGCTTCATTTATATCCTCAGAGATTAAATGATTAAAAAAGAGAAATTCAATGTCAAGCTAAAGAGATGTAGGTTTTAGCGAAAGCTTATATAACACAGACCCTGATCCAAAACAGAGAGATCATCGCATGAGAAAAATTAATCAAGCTCTGATTCAAACACAGGAAGTTTAACCCCCTGACAAAGACCCTTCACACTGGTCCTAACCTAAACTCCAACTTCCTTTACATTTGGATTTATTATCCATATTTGAACAAATTCTGCACGTCAAGTGGGAATTGACCATTATAAGCTTTGTATATCATTTGAATTAGGTAATAATCTACTAAATGTTTGAGTTTCAGCATATTTAGTTGAATCAGTAATGGATTTGTGACTCTTGATCAGGTCTGTTTGTTACCATTCATATGACATTTTCTTTATTTGTAATAAAACCATTGAGTTGATGTTTGTCGGGTGTTTCCCACCTCTGCATAAAACAATAAGTGAATAATGTTAAATGCATGGAGATTGTTGCCAAAGTCTTTGACTTTGTACAAAATAAATAGATTTAGACTTTTCAGTTTTGACAAAATGCAAACTACATAAATTATCTAAATAACTCCCAAGAATTTAGTTTCATGTCAGTTTTGAATCCATTGTAATTTTTCTGTGGTTATTTTAGCAAGCAGTTTCCAAATATTATTCATTTTGTATTTCCAACATGAACAGAGCAGATCAACCATTTCCTGTTTCCAGAAGCTGCTTGAAAATTCCCACAACAAAAAAGTCATCAGCAAATAACCAACACTTAGAAATGTAAACCATAGATATATCATGTAAACAACATTGTTCCAAACAGTGAGCTCTGTGGCACCCCAACCCGTCATCTTTAATAAACCACAATCTGTGTTGCTTATATGTACATATTGATGCCTGTCATCTAAATAAGCTAAAAGCCAGATATTTCGCAGTCCTCCAATGCCATACCTGTCTAATTTCCTCAAAAGAAGCCAAAGTGCCAAATTCCTCTCATAGATCCAAAAATATTCCTGATATGCATGACTGCGCATTCGTCAACCTGCATGCAGCCTGTTTCAGTTGCTCCTACTTTTTCTCTATTTTTCCTTTTACTTAGTATTAGTGTTATTTTGTTTTAATAGCTTTCTCTCAAACATGTGGGTCGAGCAAGTCTTTGTTCTCCTTGTTGTGGAACTGTTAGTTTCATTGAGGAATGGGATTGCAGCAGCTACACCACACGCTTTGATTACTCCAGAGATCAGCTGATCGCTCTGATGCCTGCGGCTTGTTGGCCAGACCCATGGACGTACCGACTGTAATGGAGGTGGTCAGAGGAGGCCTTAGCAGAACTACAGGGCTGTTTTGAGATGACCGATGAGGAGACACTCTTTGAGCCTCACTGACTACATAACTTTTTGCACCTACTCCATTATTCCAGCTCAGACTGACCATTGTTACCCAAATAACAAGCCGTGGGTGACTAAGGACATCAGTACACTCCTCAACGACAAGAAGAGGGCTTTCAGAGGGGGCAATAAATTCAAATTCAAATCTTTATTTGTCACACACACAACCATACACAGTATGACATGAGGTGAAATGCTTGTAGCTGTGCAATGCAATGCCCGACCATTAAATGACAGTGGTTTTACAGTATTTACAATTTACAGGTTATACAAAATTTACAGATTTAACTTTATTTAATTTACAGTAAAAAAATGTGCAAATAGCAGAAAGAGATTATAAATTATAGGAATAAATAATAAAGAGGAGGTGAGAAGGATCCAGGTGTTACTGAAGGACAAGATCAGAGAGGCTAAGGACAATTACAGGACGAAGCTGGAGTGGAAACTTCACCAGAACAGAATGAGCGAGGTGTGGAGGGGCATGAAGACCATCACTGGATTCTGGACCAACTCCGAGCCGTAGTCAGACCACATCAGGATCCCCTTCATTTTGCCTACCGGCCCCGCCTTTGAGCTGAGGACGGCATCATCTACCTGCTCAATCGTGTCTACGCCCATCTGGACTAGCCGGCGAGCGCTGTGAGGGTCATGTTTTTTTTACTTTTCCAGTGCTTTCAGCACCATCAGGCCAACCATCCTGGGAGATCAGCTGACAGCGGTGCAGGTGGATGCTTCTCTGGTGTCCTGGTTTTAACGAGGATCGATCCAAAATAGGGTCCAACCAGCAAGTCAGGTCTCCGCCAATTATCAAAGAGTAGAAAACAACACAAAAACCCAACAAACTGACTGTAGATATGAGACAATGTAAAACCACTTGAAAGACCAACGAGGTCATGAAGTGGGCAGAAACAAGGTGAATAATGCGACTGAAAAACCCCCACAGTAGATCAACTCAACAGTCAGGAGAAGGTGAAACAAACAAGTGTATGGTCTAAGGCAGGGGTGTCCAAACGTTTTGCAAAGAGGGCCAAATTTTATAAAGTGAAGATGCCTGGGGGCCAATGGTTCCTTTTGACTTTTTTTTTTCATAACAAAGTTACATGAAAATATAATGAAGAACAATTTTAATAGTCACAATTACCTTTATTTTTAAAATAGAAATGTACCTAAATAAAAGACACTCAGGCAAGCATTTCCAACTCTAAAGACACACTTTTCATTTATATCTGGAGAGTCACACAACATTGAACAAACTGTATAGTTTACTGTATACTTTCATTCCATGAGTTTGCCATATCTTTGCCTAATGAACATTTAAACAGGAGTTATAAGTAATGAAAAGTGTTCTGTTATCAATAAAGTTTTTTTTAAGTGAATTTCGCCCTTTGACTTTGGGTTCCTGAAAGGTCTTGTAAAAGTTTTTCACATCTACTGGAAGTTCACTTGCCGCAAGAAATAACCACTTTTGTAAATTAAAATACACAATATGTACACAACACACTCAACTATGAATTAAGAGCATAACATCAACAGTTAAAACCAAATCTTAAGAGTTTAACAAAATACGTTTCCCTTTGTGTATTGCATTAGCATGCTTTATGCTTTTTACTGTTCAGGAACACATGAGTAATGCAGGGATGTCTCTCCTGGAGGCCTGTGAAGGTTCTTGGTCATCCAGGTCACCGTAGTCTAAGGAGCTTGGAAAGAAAAGTGTCTGGACTTCTTTAAGTTGCTTGAAGATGATCCTGTGCCTAATCACATGAGCCAAGGTGTAAAAACGGGTCACAATCAGCCAGGGTTTTGGGTTTTTAGATCCTTCCCAGACGCCTTAATGCCCACTCACATCCTGGACCATCTGACCTCAGGAATTCGCATGATAAGGTGGGGCCAGGTTTC